TACAATGATGATCATTCTGTGCGGTGGGGCATCCCCCACTGCATCGGTGCAGGGTGATGAAGGAAGGATGGTTTAAATATGGTGGATCCTTTGGAACTTTGATTGCAGCTGGCCTCGGGCGACAAGGAGTTTCCCCTAGCGTTTTGGGGCTCGTATCTGTTAATCAATCAAATTGGTCATTAACAGTTAGTCGAATATAAACTTACGGTAGCGATGAATCTGTCATCAGATCAAGGGTGGAGCAGTGGTGAGAGCACTTGCCTCCCACGAATGTGGCCCTGTTTTAACGCAACCGTTTTTGTCTCGTCACTCAACGCTCCTCCCCAACAAACAGCGAAGGGAGGAGCGTTGCGTGACGAGACAAAAACGGGTGCGAGGGAGACTAATTGGCTCCAACATAACCTGCTAGCAAGCTCTCCATGCATGGGGAGCAAGGCGAGCCGCGAGTTTTTTTTCGCGTGCTGCTCTCGCGTGACTTCTCGCAACTTTCCAACATGGAGAGCTTGCTCGCAGGCTAGCTCCAACAGGAGTGCTATATCCAGATACGTCTAGTCTCCGAACCCACCAACCCACGCGCGCAGTCACGAGTGGTGTCCTCTTCCCTATGCAATTGCAAGTTCGTGCTCCCACCATACAACGGTACAAACGTCTGTAAAATTTTGCGCTCTTTCCAGGAGTATAAATGGATATTCGCTAACTGGTCTTCATCAAAACGTAAAAGGGTCTATTGATGCAGCTCTTACCCACTGATATATTAACACCTGCGGAATACTCTGGAACATCACTTAACACCGGCTTTAAAGGAACTGACTCGTCTTGTTGTTGGATAGATATAGCGGCCTCTGGGTCAAACTTAGCATCTTCAAGCGGAAGTCTTCTTTTTTCAAGGAACGTTCTAAGTCCTCGTGGATAAGCCTGTCAAAAGTGAATTCAAGATGTGAGGGTTCTCTTATATTGAAGCGTTTCAGAGGGTAAAATTTTATACCCTCCTGAAGACTCAGGAAATGGGAAACCATTCCCTGTTCAGTGGCATATATCTACCCGGGCCTAGCCTGTGCTAGGTAAAGGACGTCGCAAAAATAAAACAAGCGACGCGAAAATAAGACGCGCGTATACAGCCCACGCACGTTTTTCGCATCACTTTTGACTGCATGACTGCGCTACTATCATGGAGTCTAGGACAGGCTATTCCGGGCCAACTAAGGGAGTGCCTAACCTCCTCCCGGATCGTTATGTTTGTGCAGATCACAGTCTGGTCCCGTACCAATTCGTACGATTGGCTGTTAATGGGGTAGCTCTTGAAAGTTATAAAGATGGCTTGAGTCTGGTTTACAGTAGCGCAAAGGCATTGCTTTGGATGGAGGCCAAGGGCGGAAGCGTCGTGGATGGTTGTATACAAGGTTGTATCCAAGAGGTCAAGGCGAGCTTGAGCACCCTTGCGTGAGGCCGCGTGGATGCGCGTTTGTATGTCGAACAAGTACATGGATAGCCTGCGAGCAAGCTCTCCTATTTGGGCGAGTGAAGCGAGACTGGCGAGAACGCGCGAGCGAGCGGCGAAGCCGCGAGGGGCAAAGGAAAGGAAACAACAACAGGTGCATCAGCATAACATTTCTTGACAACAAAGTTTATTCAAGGAAAAGAAAGAGTGTCCTCTGTCACAACGCAGTTTAAAACACTCCCGCAAAAAATGACTTCTGAGATTTTAGCATCGAATAGGAGATTTATTTATCATAAACCGAACTTTAA